CTCAACTCAGATGTCACTTAGGGAGGTCTTTTTCTGAACTTCAACTAGGTGAGGTTAACACACATCACAAATGTAATAATTTCTCTTTCTTCTCTATATATTCAGGCTCCATGTGGCCATAGGGAGCTGACTACCTTCATCCCTGTTTCTCCAGTGCCTGGCACATAGTAGACAGTCAATATGGTTTTTTTGACTTATTATAAAAAGGATACTATCTACCATTTGGAGTTATTGTGTGGATGACAGATAATGTCTGTAGTATCTAGCCCAGTATCTGGCACATAATAGGTACATAAGAAGTATGTACGATTGGTAGTAATCAGATTAATATTTTATGAGGTTACAGATGGCTAGGTAGAATGCTGCTTTATTTGAGAGACAGCTTAATGTGGTAGAAAGACTAGGGCTGTAAAGTCAGAAGCACCTACTAGCTGCAATTTTGGGCTCTAATCTCTTTGAAACGCAGTTTATCCACGTGATACCCATGTCAGAATTGATGCTGAAAGTTAAACGAGAGTGGGTTAAGCTCACAGGATGGGTGTTGGTTCATCATTAAGTCTTCATGAATAGTAGAGCTGGTATTTTTTTAAGTGAAGGGTTGATGATCTAACATAAATTTATTATCATTAAGAAATATTTGTTTATTGACCTGACATTTATTCATTAATTTCTGATCATAATCTGACTCTAAGCTGTTTTTTTTTTGAGAATAGAATCTAGCATTGTTTTTTGATTCTGTAATCTAAATTACTGTGATTTCTATCACTTTTTTTGAATGAACTATTTACATTTTTAAACACAGTATTTATTAAGTTGGCATTCCAAAAGTAGCACTTATTTTAAAAGGACCATTTTTCTTAAACTCAGCTAATTATTAAATCAAAGATTTTGTTTCTTTAGTAACTGAAAGAAAGCAGTTTCTGTTTATAAATAAGCAGCAAATTCAAAGTATGAGAAGTTGGTCCTTCGTTCATAGCCATGGACAGATTTGACTGTGTGGACACAAGGCCACTGTAGAAGTTACTTAGCAGATTGGTAAATGTAGTGTAAAGGGTGCTCTCTGATCCTGGTATTGAGATTACATTTTGCATTACTTTGAATTTGAGTTTATAGATTACAAAACTGAAGTAGTCTCCCTAAGGTTTTTATTCTATTAAATAATATCAATTTGCGTGATTGTATTTAGATGATCTGGATTTTAAAGAGAACTTAATTTCATGGGATTTGAAATCACAACATTTATAAATTGTTCACTTTTTAATTAACAAATATCACCAGATACAAACAACATTTAAATCTTTTTTTTCTTTAGAAGCAGCATTAAGAGGTCTTCTGGGAGCCTTGACAAGTACCCCATACTCTCCCACCCAGCACCTAGAGCGAGAGCAGGCTCTCGCTAAGCAGTTTGCAGAAATCCTTCATTTCACACTCCGGTTTGATGAACTCAAGGTAGGACTCCTGCTGGCCTTGACTGTATGAAAGCATGAGTCCTTCAAAGAGCACCAGGAGGGACGCCTGGAGACCTAGCTGAAATGTGCTTAAGTGATGTCTGATGTCCTTAGCAAAAATGGAAAACTGGATATAAAAATTATGGCATGTCTTTTGATACATGCATAGCACATTACCCAATATTCAGCCTTCATTTAACTTCATTTTAAAAAGATCTTTGAAGGAATATTGACCTTTTCTGATATTTTCTTTTTCCTTTCTGCTCACCCAGTTTATCTCAATTTTCTTTTATGTAAAAATGTTCAGGTATTTCCAACCCCTTCCATTTACCTGTCTATATACCTACCTGCCTGCCTGTCTGCTACCTGCTACTGTTGGGGGAGTGTGAGTAGAAACAAGCATTAGCTCTCCCAGCAGGAGACTGACTTCCACGTTGGGCCCTGCACAGTAGCCAGCTGGGAGCAGGCCCTTTGTCTTCTCAGGGTCTCGGATACCTTCCCTGGAAAATGGAAGAGCAGGATTTCTAACTTCAGCGTTTTATGATGAAATCTTAGACAACTGTTCTCTTTTATTAACACTTGGAGCACAGATGATTTACATACAAAATGTTAGTCAGTCTGGAGATTGTCCTGTTGACCATGTATGCATACTTCTGGTGTAATTCCAAAGCAAGTGCCTGCAGAGTTTTTCTTCTTTTCGTCTTATGTTTTGGCAAACCACCTTTTAGTATATTACGTGAAATTATTGAGAAAAAGAAGGGAAACTTATTGACCATGACTGAAAAACAATCCGTACATTTTATATGTTCATTGGGGGCCGACTGCATTGTGAACATGATATGTGTGCAAAAAGCCATCTTGGTGATACCAGTTTTATTTGTTAAAATGTTATTACAAATTGGGAATGCTACTTCATTAGTTAAAACTGTATTTAGTAGATTTTCACTTAATTTTTTCAGTGTCATTTAGTACCTACTTTTTTCTTTCACAACTGTCTTCTTTAGATGACAAATCCTGCCATACAGAATGATTTCAGCTATTACAGAAGAACATTGAGTCGTATGCGGATTAATAACGTTCCAGTAAGTTAACACATTGAATTAGGGGTGGTAATAATAACTCATCTCTCAGTTCAAGTTCTTCTTTTATTTGTTCATTTGCTCATTCATTCTGATAAAATTAAAGCCAGTAAGTAATCTGTGGGCAACCACAGGTGTGGGAAGAAAGAGCAAAATGTAGGAAACCATATGGTATTGAACACCACCCCCCCCAACACACACACACTTTTTCCCTTAAATTCCTACGACTACAATAAAATTATTTTTTGTCTGTGTGACATTAATACCGGATTTCTCTGTGTAGTCTCATTTTAACGACATAATAATTTATGAATTGGTGCTTTTGAGTTTGTCCCCATATTCATGGAATGGAATACTCCAAGGAGGAACTGAAAAACAGACAACTGGGAGGGGAGTGGTACTGATGCTGGCAGAGGGGAGAGCGAGGCCTTGGAGTCATGGGCTCTGCGTCTGGCTGGCTGAGGGAGTGGCTTCTGCGCCTGCTCCTGCCTAGCAGAGCACCGCTTCTACCTTCTTCAGGCTTGTGAGCCTCTGGACTCCTCCTCCTCTTAGCGGTTTCATACCCTTTCTACCGCCAAGGAGTCAGATGTCTGTCATTTGTAAAACCTTAAATTTGAAGAAATATCTTTTTCTCGGTATGTTGAGGGCCTACCTTGTGTGGAAAAGAGAGAAATTTCTAGGATCAGCCCTAGCCTCTAGTACAGTGGTTCTCAACCTTCTGGCCCTTTAAATAAAGTTCCTCACGTTGTGACCCAATCATAAAATTATTTTCATTGCTACTTCATAACTGTAATGTTGCTATTGTTATGCATCGTAATGTAAATATCTGATATGCAGGATGGCCTTAGGCGAACCCTGTGAAAGGGTCGTTCGACCGCCAAAGGGGTCGCGACCCACAGGTTGAGAACCTCTTCTCTAGTAGATGGTTTAATAAAGAAATACTACATAAATATGTAAAGATGCTGAGTGGCATCAGAAGTTAAAAAATACCAAAGGACACCATTCTTTTTTTTTCTCCTTCTTCATTGAATGAGTGTTTTATGAGGTGGTTGCTCCTAAGACAGGTCCTGGGTTGGGGGAAGATCTCTTTTCCAAGAAGCAGCTGTGCCTTGGCATCGGTTAGATTGTACAGAGCCCAGTTCCTGCTGTGAGGTCACCGTATCACCTGCAAATAAAGTACGAGCAGAACACTCAGTGCTCTGTGAGAGCCATCCCTCAAGGCCAGAGACATCAGTCACTTGTCACTGTCGTTTGCCGTCAATAGTTATAAGTCAGCCTGGTCCTTGTCGAGTGAAGCATCTCTCCAAGCGCTTCCCCGTGTCATCTGCTAACTCTACATCCCAGGTGAAAGCCCCTCGCACTCTCCTTTCAGCAGTCATTCTGATGCCGGAGAGCTCATTGACCTGCAGGCTTTTTATTTTATGGTGCACTCTGCCCACGGTCATCAGTTAGCTTTCTTTAGAACAAGGATGTTGTCATTCCTTTTCTCTGACGCTTTACGTGGTTCACCGTCACAGATAAGATGTTAGGCAGCATTTAAGGCCCTCTGTGTCCCACTCCACCTTCCTTCCCAGCCTGTCTTCCACTAGTTGCTGCCTCTTAGTATCCTGAACGCATTCAGTTACGTGGAAATACACTTGCATCGACTGGGTGAACCTGCCCAGCATCGTCTACCAAAGCCCAACCCTTCTGAGTCCATTTTGGTTTCTTCTGGTCTAACTTAGTCTCTCTCACCCTCCATGCTATTGTGGATGTTTGTGTGTTCCCAGTGGGGTCAGGGTGCGATGTCATAGTCACCTTCCTGTCTTCCATCGGATGTAGAGTAATCCCTTGTACCCAGAAGGCAGCCTGTCAGTATCTTATTTCACTGCTTAATATCATTTAAAATACAGGGTGGGGCAAAGTAGATTTACATTTGTGATTATGCAAAAAGAGCTTATTTTTGTATTATTATTAGTGTATTTTTTCTCATAGAACAACTGTAAACCTACTTTTGTCCCACTCTGTATTTTTTAAAGAGGTTATTTAAAAAAAATTCTTTTTGTCATTTTTAAATCTTTATTTTTGAAGACTACTTGAAAGTCTAAAATATAGTTTAAGAGTATTTGTTAAACTAATTTAGTAAGCATGAATGAGACAACACTGCCTCATCCTTGTACAAATGAGACCCTATGTAACATCTCTGAGCTGATGGTCAGGTGCTCTTGTTTTCCATGCAGGCAGAAGGAGAAAATGAAGTAAATAATGAACTGGCAAATCGAATGTCTTTGTTTTATGCCGAGGCAACCCCGATGCTGAAAACCTTAAGTGATGCCACAACAAAATTTGTATCAGAGGTAAGCATTGCCTGGAATTTCTCTGTGGTGCTCCTCTGCCTGTCTGCGGACATGACGGTCCCAGCACGTCCCGAGACTCTGAATACCAGCTCTAAGCTGGGACACTCCCAGATATGTGCACTGAGTGCTGCCCCCTTCCCTGAGGCCTACATGTGCAAAAGGACCCACCTGTTTGCAGCCTCCCTCTGGGTGTATGGTTGACACCCCAATGGTATTGTGACCAAACCAAAGTCTTGATTTTCCCCCAACCCTGTCTTTGACCCAGTCTCTCCTGTCTCAGTTGAGAGTTCCACTGTAGCCCAGCTGGTGTTGCTCACTGACTGAGGGTCGACCCACGCACCAAGAGATCCGTGGTTCGATTCCCGATCAGGGAACATGCCCAGGTTGAGGGCTTGATTTCTGTTATAGGATATGCAGGAGGCAGCTGATTGATGTTGATTCTCTCCCATTGATGTTTCTTCCTCTCCCTTCTTCTCTCTCTAAAATCAATAAAAACATTTTTTTTTTTAAAAAAAGAGTACCACTGTAAAGGCAGATCTTGTTTTATTATGCGTCACTTTACTGCACTTCACAAATGTTGCATTCTTTACAAATTGATGGCAAGACCTCCCACCAGTCAAAAGAGTATGGCTTGCTTTATTGTGGTTGTCTGGAACCGAACCCGCAGTATCTCCGAGGTCCTATACAAATAACTATGGCTTATTATCCTAAATTCCTTTCTTTATCTTACCCCCTCTGTCCACCCCATCAGACAGTCTTATTGGCTCCAAAATAAATGCTGAATTTGAAAACTGAACCCCTCTCTTGCTACCTCTCCACATGAGCCCAGGTCCCTCTCACCTGGATTACTGCAGTCATGTTCTGGCTGTTCTTATTCCATTATAAGAATTCTTGCCCATTGTAGTCCTTTCTCCAAAAAGCAGCAAAGTCTTCTTAAAACAGAAACCTCATTTCCTTCCTCTGCTCTACATGTTTCTAGTGACTTCCCAGTTCCCTTGAGATGAAATCCACCTTGCTCCTAGCCTCCAGGCCCCTGTCTGTTGGCTGCGCTCTTTCCACCAGCCCCAGTTTACACGCCTCTCAGGAGAGGGGCCTTGGCTGCCTAGCTGGTAGCTGTATCCCCAGAGCTTAGAGCAGTACCTAGAATCTAGTGCATTTTTTACAAAATTAAAAGTAGAAACCGAATATTAAAGTTGCCAATTTTTCATGTTATGCTAGGTTTTAGCTTACACCTATGTACTAATTCACTTTTATTCTTTTTGTTCTCTGTGCACCTTTACAGAATAAAAACTTACCCATAGAAAATACCACGGACTGTCTGAGCACCATGGCCAGCGTGTGCAGAGTCATGCTGGAAACGCCGTGAGTATCGTGTCGGCTGGTCTCTCACTTTCATAATCCTGTGGGATGGTTGTCCAGATGGGAACATGTCTTAACTGTAAGGTGGGAATTAAGGCGATCCCAGGTAACCAGTGTAATATGTGAGCAAAATTAAAATAGCTTGGCAGCTTCATGGAACTTCTGGTTAAGTGTCAGTCCAGCTGCTTTTAAGGTGCCTAAGACCAGCAAGACTAACTCAGACTCTTCCTTATGGAGATTTTTGTGGTGCTTTGGGTCGAAGGGGAGGAGTTTTAACGCTCTTTCAGTGTTGCTTTTCATACATTCTCTCTCCTTTATTCTTCTGCTAACCCCTTTTTCTCAGTATGAGTTCTCAGTCTTCATTTTCTCACCACTTGCCTGAGTCCCCTACTGGGTTTCTCCTCTCACGCCGTTGAGGATGTCTGCCACATGTTGTCATAGGCAGAAAGACTCCACCTGGATTCCTGAATATATGGTCTTACTAGATAACTGTTGTTTTAGTGGAGCTCTGCATTTTCCAAAGTCCTGTTCTATATGCCGCCTCCCAGGAAAACCTTACAAGCAAGAGGGCAGCTTATCGCCCTCCTTCCTTTCTTCCTTCTCCTTTAGGAGAGTGAGGCCTGGGGAGTGAAGGGATTGTGCACAGTGACCGACCCCACATGCGCCTGGACCCTTCATCCCGGGCTGGGACTCTTTCTGCTGGGACATGATGCCTTTATATGGACAAATGAGAGAATAATCCAGTCAGATTTTAGAGAATTAAAATCCACTGATACAGTAATGTGTTTAGATAAATCAGCCCAGACACACTCGCTCTGTTAAGCTAGTGACTTTTTTCATCATATTGGTGATAGCACTTATTCCCAAACCTTTACTTGGGGCTACTTTGGGTTTCTCAAAAATGGTCTGATCTCTGCTAGCAGAGTGGGCGGTAAACTCAGGCGCATGGAGAGACCCTGGGAGGAAAGTGCTGACTGCTGCACACACCTGTCTGGGAGCGCCATTGCCGGGGAGAGGGGCGGCTTCATGTTAGCACCTCTTACAGGTTAACGGTGCGTCTTCCCGCATCAGCTTGAGAGTTGAATCAGCTCATTCATTTGTGATGAGCCTCATGCATCGTGTCTTCTCTGCCCTCCAGGGAATACAGAAGCAGGTTCACAAACGAAGAGACAGTGTCGTTCTGCTTGAGGGTAATGGTGGGCGTCATCATACTCTATGACCATGTACACCCCGTGGGAGCATTTGCCAAAACCTCAAAAATTGATGTAAGTGGCCTAGTTTTATGTAATTCCCAACACTTGCTATAACCGAAAGCCAGAGGCGGAAACCTCACACTCCTCCTGCATATTGGGCAATATAAACAATATAAAAATTGTATCCTTTCATTCTCTTGACCAAAGGCCATTTCAGACAAAAGATTTATATCTAAATATGCAGGGTGGGGTAAAAGGAGATTTAGCTTTAAATTACACGAAACACAGAGTCTATTCTTGTATTAATTATTAGTTAATTGCATTATTTTCCATGCGGACGAATAAACCTTCACCTGCATATGAAGCGCCAGTAGAGGTGCTGCAGCGAATAAAGGTGAAGGCCATGCATTTTCCCTCCTCCGGTTCTAATAATCTGTGGCTCTGGCCTGGGTTTCTCTGTTTTGTAACTTCTCTCCTCCTCCGGTTCTAATAATCTGTGGATCTGGCCTGGGTTTCTCTGTTTTGTAACTTCTCTCCTCCTCCGGTTCTAATAATCTGTGGCTCTGGCCTGGGTTTCTCTGTTTTGTAACTTCTCTCCTCCTCCGGTTCTAATAATCTGTGGCTCTGGCCTGGGTTTCTCTGTTTTGTAACTTCTCTCCTCCTCCGGTTCTAATAATCTGTGGCTCTGGCCTGGGTTTCTCTGTTTTGTAACTTCTCTCCTCCTCCGGTTCTAATAATCTGTGGCTCTGGCCTGGGTTTCTCTGTTTTGTAACTTCTCTCCTCCTCCGGTTCTAATAATCTGTGGCTCTGGCCTGGGTTTCTCTGTTTTGTAACTTCTCTCCTCCTCCGGTTCTAATAATCTGTGGCTCTGGCCTGGGTTTCTCTGTTTTGTAACTTCTCTCCTCCTCCGGTTCTAATAATCTGTGGCTCTGGCCTGGGTTTCTCTGTTTTGTAACTTCTCTCCTCCTCCGGTTCTAATAATCTGTGGCTCTGGCCTGGGTTTCTCTGTTTTGTAACTTCTCTCCTCCTCCGGTTCTAATAATCTGTGGCTCTGGCCTGGGTTTCTCTGTTTTGTAACTTCTCTCCTCCTCCGGTTCTAATAATCTGTGGCTCTGGCCTGGGTTTCTCTGTTTTGTAACTTCTCTCCTCCTCCGGTTCTAATAATCTGTGGCTCTGGCCTGGGTTTCTCTGTTTTGTAACTTCTCTCCTCCTCCGGTTCTAATAATCTGTGGCTCTGGCCTGGGTTTCTCTGTTTTGTAACTTCTCTCCTCCTCCGGTTCTAATAATCTGTGGCTCTGGCCTGGGTTTCTCTGTTTTGTAACTTCTCTCCTCCTCCGGTTCTAATAATCTGTGGCTCTGGCCTGGGTTTCTCTGTTTTGTAACTTCTCTCCTCCTCCGGTTCTAATAATCTGTGGCTCTGGCCTGGGTTTCTCTGTTTTGTAACTTCTCTCCTCCTCCGGTTCTAATAATCTGTGGCTCTGGCCTGGGTTTCTCTGTTTTGTAACTTCTCTCCTCCTCCGGTTCTAATAATCTGTGGCTCTGGCCTGGGTTTCTCTGTTTTGTAACTTCTCTCCTCCTCCGGTTCTAATAATCTGTGGCTCTGGCCTGGGTTTCTCTGTTTTGTAACTTCTCTCCTCCTCCGGTTCTAATAATCTGTGGCTCTGGCCTGGGTTTCTGTGATCTTCTTTTAAAATACGAACCACTCTTAGCGATTCCCTTTTAGATTCGTAATTTGTGTTTACAAACTTAGAGCAAAACACCCCTGCCTGGAAATAAGGCGCCTGGAGAACTAAGACACGGGATATGGTTGGTAGACCGTCCTGAAGCTGAGTATGTGGAGCAGGGCCGCTCCCCTTTCTGTGAGGGCAGCGAGGAAGCAGGGATCTAGGCCAGTGATGGTGAACCTTTTGAGCTCGGCGTGTCAGCATTTTGAACAACCCTAACTTAACTCCGGTGCCGTGTCACATAAAGAAATTTTCTGATATTTGCAACCATAGTAAAACAAAGACTTATATTTTTGATATTTTATATATTTAAATGCCATTTAACAAAGAAAAATCAACCAAAATAAATGAGTTTGCGTGTTACCTCTGACACGCGTGTCATAGGTTCGCCATCACTGATCTAGGCTCTGTGGACCACATGGCCCTGTCCCAGCTCCTCAACGCTGCATTTGGTGAGATGGTAGCCATAGGCCATGCTGAAGTGACTCAGTATGGCTGCGTTCCAGTAAAACTAAAAACTCAGTTTGTATGATTTCCATGTTAACATGAAGTATTACTTTTATTTTGATTCCCCCCCGCCCCCAACCATTTAAAAATGTAAGAATGTGCTCAGCTCACAGGCCATACAAAGTAGGTAGTAGGTTGGATTTGGCTCAAAGGCTACAATTTTTCGACCCCTGAGTTAGAACAACAATAATTTTCCTCTGAGTGAGAAGTTACAGTCAATTGTTTCCTTTAGAATTTAACCAGATCTTCCCAACAGGGCAGTTCTAACAGCTTCCCAGCTGCTGGCTTTGCGTCTGGAAGGCGATGGGAGGACCATTGCGGAGCCTGAGCCAGCTGACGCGGGAAGGGAAAGGCCTGAGAGAATGTTGCCTGGCCAGTCGCTCTGCTTGTCGTAGAGCCGGATGCCAGTGATGATGTGTGTTTTCTAATTCCCTGCAATGGGTGTTTCTTCCCGTTAGGTACACAACAAAACATTTGAACGATGAGACTACCTCCAAGCAAATTAAATCCATGCTGCAATGACACTCCAGAGCGAGCGCCTGCAGTGACTCGGATGCACAGTTTTTAGTGATTGCAATTACTCTCTCATTTACTCTCGCTTTAGTTCTTCCCTCTGTTCCTCTGCCCTCTTTTTAAATCATGTCCTTGTTCTTAAGACTTCTTTTCTGTGCCAAAATCAGTCAAGTTATACCCTGGAGGGGTTGCCTTTCAGACAGGCCACCTGAGGCAGCTAATCATGCATCGCATTGGGGTCTCCACTGAGAGAAATTCTGTGACTTGAACTAAATATTTTTAAATGTGGATTTTTTTTGAAAACTAATATTTAATATTGCTTCTCCTGCATGGCAAAACTGCCTACTCTGCTATTTAAAAGCCCTCAATGACTTTATTTTCTACTGCCGCTTTTTTTCATGTGCAGCCAAATGAAAATGTTTAAATTAATTGTGTTGTACAGATGGTACCCAACACAAACTTTTTTAAAATTAGTCAGATTTTTGTTTAAAGTTTTAAGTTTGCATTTTGACCTTTTTGTAAGGATGTATGTTGTGTGTTTAACCTTTATTAACTAATGTTAAAACTGTGATGTGTGCGTAGAGTATTACGTATGCATGTTCATGTTTAAAGAATGGCTGTTGATGATAAAATAAAAATCAGCTTTCATTTTTCTAAGTGTGGCCTGGTTTCCTGAGGTTTGGTTTTAGGCGTCCAGGGCTCTCCCCTTGTGTTTTTATGAAATGCACGTACACATTACACAATTTCCCTTCTTTTAGGAGAGAGCTGGGTCTTTTGAATAGCATTTTTCTCTAGTATTGTCTGTGTGGACCCCGTTTTCATTGCTTTCCTAAGCTTGCCGAGGGCAGTAAGACCAGCGATGAGGGCCTGCTAGCCTTGCTTACCTCGTGTGGATGGAGTAACTGCAGGACGTCCACTCTTGCGTGGTCTGGTTTCCCAGGAGCGAAGGGGAGGAGCTGCAGGACGCAGAGTGGGAGGAAGAGCCTTCATGTTGGAGGGGAGTGAGCGTGAGGGGCTTCCCAGGAGGAGCTGAAGACCCAGATCCCCTGTGAGGGAGAAAACGAGCGTGTTTGTCGTTCAAGGCCCTAAAACCTTACTTTGTGAATGTGCAGGTGTGAGATGCTGCTTAAAGGCTGTCTAGTCCACACAGGCCGGTGCTTTAATGAGGACAGTGTTGTAGCTCTGACACCATTAAAAGCATTAACTGTGGACGCGGCTCCTGGAGGCTCTGTCCAGACCTGGCTCAATAGGGCAGCTCAGGAGCCGTGGCCCTTCCGATGGAGCCCGGCAGCCTCATGGCTCAGCACCTGCTCGCCCATTCCCAGCCGCCTCTGCGCTCACTGTTGAGACTGTGTCACACCATGTCCCATGTCCATGGCTCGGTTGGGTGGCCCTGAGCCAGTCATCTTCCTCCTCATCCACCTGATCTTTCGAGCACCAGCCTTGGGGATAGCATTCTCCAGGTCCTTCTGGACCCTTCTGAGAGTATTGTCCTGGGTTAAATCGTGAACCCCCAAAAGGCATGCTCACCTGCAACTGGAAAATGTGACCTTATTGGGAAAAAGGGTTTTTGTAACTGAAACTTAAGTCTGTATTAAGGTCACCCTGCATTGGAGTGGCCCTGAATCTAGCGTCAGCTCTGTAAGAAGAAGGAAGGGAATGGGCACAGAGCAGGAGGCCACGTGAAGATGGAGGCGGAGGCTGGTGTAATGCGGCTACCAGCCAAGGAACCCGTCACAGGCCAGATTCTCCCTCAGCCTCAGCACCAAGCCTGCGGACACCTTGATCTCAAACTCTGCCTTCCAGGACTGAGAATAAATTCTGTCGCTTTAAGCCACTCGTGGGAATTTGTTATGGCAGCCCGGAGCAACTAGGATAGGTATCTTATCCAGCCCCTCCGATATGTCACTGCCCTTCAGGGTAATTTTTTTGATCTTTAGAATTCGAGAGTGGCCATGGGTGATGTTTCTCCCGCACCCTGAGGATCTTGTGCCATCCACAAATTTTAGGCAGGACAAGTGAACTGAGTGGACAAACGTAAACAAGAATGACACAGCCGGGACCAAGGATCACTGTTGTGGCCCTGCCGCCAGCCCAGTGCACGCCTGCGTGTTGGGGAGAACTAACTGCACTGGGGTTCTCAGCTAGTCTGCAGGCCGGCCTGCCCACATTGCCTGTGTTTGTGAACTAAGAAGCATTTCTATGTTTTTAAAAGGTTGGAAAAAATCAAAAGAACAATATTCCATGGCATGTGTAAAGTACAGATTCAAATTCTAATGTCCATAAATAAAATCTTATGGGAACACAGCCTCATTGGTTTATTTATGTATCATTTTGGGCTACTTTTGCGCCACGATAGTAGAAGGGAGTTCTTGTGATCGGGGCCATGTGGCCCTCAGAGGTGAAAATACCATTTGGCCCTTTACAGAAAGTTTGCTGACCCCTCCTCTAATGATAAGAGCAAGTTAATTTGACAACTAAATGTCAGTCTTTTTTCTTTTTTTTTTAAATTAATCCTCACCCAAGGATATTTTTTTTCATCAATTTTTAGAGAGGGGAAGGGAAGGAAGGAGGGGGGACTGAGAGAGTGAAACATTAGTTGGTTGCCTACTGCACTTGACCGTGACTAGGGATTGAATCTGCAACCAAGGTATGTGCCGTCAACTGTGAATTGAACCCGCAACCCTTTGGTGCATGGACCGATGCTCTCAGCACTGAGCCACACAGTCAGGGCCCAAATGTCGATCTTAAATGTTATCACCACAGAATAAAGGGTAATTTTGTGATCTGATGCAAGGGGTCCCCACAGCACCCTGAGCAAAGCTGGCACACCTGGCCTGGAGGAGGAAGTGTGGGGCTGCAGGTGCGGGGATGTGAGAGGCTCCAGCAGGGATACCCTCGGCTCAGCTGGCCTGGCGTCTCCCCACCTGGACATTCTTCACTTCACAGATGGTGAGGAGGAGACACGCTGGGCAGAAGGTGAGTTCCAGGCTGGGCAGATCTTCTGCCTAGACTTTGGGCCCCGCTGAGCCCTGACCCCCGTTTGGAGGTTAAATGGAAAGCCTGTGTATTGCCCCACTTCAAACCAAGGGAGGCCTAGAAGGAAGGTTAGGAGGGGTTATAAATTAATGAGTGATGGCGTGTTTGCAATTTGACAGCAAAAGCCTTAGAAGTGACTTGAAGACTTAAACTGAAACAAAGGGAGGTGAACTCTGTAGCTATTTGGGGGGACAGATTCTAGGTAGAGGAACTAACCAAAGGAAGAAATTTCCTGGCCTATGAACAGCTGCAATGAGTGAGAGAATTCATCGGAACGTGAGGTCAAGTGCATGCAGGCCATTGTTGGTCATTATCATGACTGTTTTTACTTGAAGTGGTATTGGCAGGTAGTACAAAGGTTAGATCCCCTGTGAGGTATGCGATGCACTTTCGAAAAGATGCGTTTGCCTTGTGGACAGTAGACAGGACAGAAGCAGGAAGTCTAGTTAGGGGATTGGGATAATCCAGGTTAAGTGTTGATAGTGGGTGGGGCAGGCTGTTGGTCTTGGAAGTGATGAAAAGCCATCACATAGACCCTGGCAGAGTTAATGTCTGCAAGAGTGGTGTGACATGGCTTCCTATAGCTCTGACCATCAGAAGGAGTTAGGAAAGTAATTCTGAAATGGGTTGGTTGGTAGGGAGTGAGGTGATGGATGAAGAAGCAAGAGGTGAGAGGGAGGAAGCATGAGTGGTACAAATCGGGGCAGCTGTCGTGGAGGCCTCCAGGGAAGAAATTCTAGAAACATGGGTCACCATGCTCTCAAGGAATGCGTAAGGACAAGCTTACCTTCCATTTTTCTTTAGTTTTCCATTTTTAGAAGGTGTGTGGTTGGTGTCCCCACACTAAAGCTAATAGTCTATGGAGTTGGGAACTCTGTCTTACTGACCTCGTTACCCCAACACTGGTATCGAAAAAATGTGTAGAAGGTGTAGACTCAAAACCTAGAAACGAGCTGGCCGACTGGCTGTCTCAACAAGGGTGGGGCTCTGAGAAGCTTATATTGTTCTGTATAAGGAAAGGGAGAGGGAATGCGGGGAGAGCAGAAACCTACAAGCTCATGACTGAAACTTGTAAGACCTTGGGGTGGGGAAGGGAAAATAAAGGAGGAGGAGGAGGAAGGGAAGCAGGTGTGAGGCAGGGAGGGGCTGAGAAAAGTCTCCATGAAAACCTGTGAACAGGGCCAACCAGAAAAGAGCTCGTGGAGAATTTTCAAGAAAATAACATGCTGGGCAATGGCCACCCCAGCTCAGTCTCCCCTGAAACCTTAAGTAAATTGGCGTCTCTTACTCTTACGCAGGGGACCAAGCACTTCCCTGTGGCGTGGGCACAAACAGAAGACCCTGTGCGAGGTTGCCAGGAGGGAGGCATGGGTGCTGCTTGCACACTGCAGGGAGGAACGTGGAGCTTCTCTGCTTTTCCAGGATCGCTGCTTCCCCACTGGCGGCTGTTCCAGTGGAGGACCAGGGATGCTCAGCTGTGGTTGCACACTCACTGCCCCAGGTTTCCCGTTTATATCCCTCCTCTGGGATGTGGGAGGTGCTTCCCAATGGAGAACAGGGAACTGGCAAAGGAAAGCTAGCGGCTGCTTATGGTGACGTTGGTTCACCGAAGCCTACTAAAACCTGCAGGCTTCCTTGGACTCATAACTCCCCCCAAACAGCTGAGTCACGTTTCCTGGCTTCTAGAATGTCCCAGAATAGGGAGGGCTCTCAGGTGCTGGCCTGTGGCACAGTAGTATATGCACCTACTAAACTGTACATTTCGAGTCTGTTGTTTTTACAATGCAAATTATAGAAAGTAAATTCAGTCTGGGGAAATCTTTCCGGCTGGTGAGTCATGTAGAAAGCACAGCCGTGACCCTCTGGCACATGGACTGGTTGTCCCGTTCCCCAGGTGGGGAAGGGCAGGTGTGGGACTTGCATGAACAGTGGATGGAAGAAGAGGGGACAAGTGCCTTGTGAAGCACCCTCAGCTGCCCTTCTGAGCGTCAGAGCTGGGACTGCCTGCTCCCACAGGCTCCCCTCTGCCAGGCATTTCCCTTTGTCCATGAGGCCACAGGAGTGATCACGAAGTAATTAGAAAGTAAATGGGTTTGGGGCAGGTTGGTTTGTCCTTTTAAAAATCTCCTTTTTCTTTACCATTAAAGATTGTTGTAAGATCGATTGTACAGCACATGACACACAGGAGGGGTAGCATTAATTCCGATTGAACCAAGGCTCTGCCCAGGGTCCTGCATGTACCTCTTCTTCTCTCCCGAAGCTTATTCCTACCTTTCCTGCT